ATCTGCTGGGGCGCCGCCGTAGGGTTGTTGGGTCTAGGGTTTGGGGCTTGTTGAACTTGGCACACTTCTCGACTTGTGCGTGTCATCCTTGCGCCGGGGTTTTTTGACTCGCGCAACTCGGACAATGCGGGCGAGGATGGTTCGGTGCCAGAAACACAGTCTGTGCTTTGCTTCCAGCCACCAAACAGGCAACGACACAGAGCTACATGCGGAACAACTGCACAGCTTTTAACCAAAAGTGGCCACCTGGTGGAGGCTGTCGTTAAAATGAAACTCGGCGCCCTCACTTGCACAAATCCTTCAGCTCACCCGGCGAAGGGCAAGGCTTGAACTTCTCGCCAGCACCGAAGGTGAACTTGCATGCGGCCTTGCCAGCAACTCGGCCAAACACGACGCAGTCCAGCAAAGAGTTGCCACCCAGGCGGTTGTTGCCGTGGATGCCACCAGCCGCCTCGCCAGCAACATAAAGTCCAGGAATGACCTTGCCCGACTTCTTGTCAATGCACTCGGCGTCCACGGTGCACTCGAGCCCACCCATGCAGTAGTGGATCACGGGAGTGATAATCGCCACGTAGAAGGGTTCGGTAGGCACCTTCGAGCCATCGATGATGTTGTGGAAGAACTTCTTGCCGCTGCCTGTCTTGCCGCTGGGCTCGTCCCAAGTCTTGCCGGATGGGTAGGCCGGGAACGGTCCACCATCAGGGTCCTCGAGAAATGTTATGCACTGGAAGCGACAACCTACCAATTCTGTAGATACAGAACAGTCAGGTTGAAGTCCAACAGGCAACAAGAAAAGAAGCACCCCAGTAAGGAATCAACCTAGACGAAGACGGCGACAACAAGACGACCGCGAGCGGCGCTCCTTCTCCTGCTTCTTTGCCGCCTCGAAGTGCTTCTGGTGGGCATCCACAATCTTCTGCAGAGGGACGCCCATGTCCTTCGCCAAGTCCTCGCCCGAGGCGTAGAACTTCATGACACCACGGCCGGTGTAGTGCTTGGCGTGCCAGATGATCTCATCGGCTGCAGCCTTGTTCAAGCACAGGCGGAAGGGCGGCTTGTTCTTCCACATCTCTCCAGTGACATAGTCGCGTCGGCCCAGCTCGTTGCAGAAGCGGTCGCCGTTGGAATCCAGGACGATGCCACCAACACCTCGGAGGGCCTCTGCGGCCAAGAACTTCACCTTGGCATCGGGATCGTCGGGCTTCACCAGACCGGTTGGGTGCACCTGGACCCACTCGAGGTCAATGGTGGCTGCACCGATGGCCTCTCCCATCTTGATGGCATCACCAGTGCAGTGCTCGCCGTTGGTGGTGGGGAGGTGGAGCAAGTCTGGCCGGTACGTGGCCAAGAGGGAATCGGCGCCGAAGTCGGCGCCGAAACCGCCGGAGGCGAGGACCATCGGGCCGAACTCCTTGACGGTCTTGCCGGCCTTCTTGTACTCGCAGCCAACCACAGTGCCAGCATTGACGAGGAGCTTGTACACCTCCGCCTTCGTCACAATGCGAGCTCGGTTGGTTTTCTCAGCAACCTTCTCCAGCATCTGGATCAACGCATAGGTGATGGTCATTCCTGGGAAGCGCTCCTTGCCACGGTGCGTGCGGGGCTGGGAGTGCCCTCCTAGGCGCGCGACGAGGGAGAGATCGAGGTCGAACTTGTCCACGAGCCAGTCAACATCCGCAGCGCTGTTGGCGCACAGCACCTTGGCAAGCTCCGGCTTCTTCGCGCCGCCCTTCAGCGTGTCGGCAATGAAGATTTCCGCTGTGTCCGGGATGGACTTTCCTTTCTGCGTCTTGGTCCCAGCACCGTTGATGCCGCTGGTGGCCTTGGTGCTGTTCCCTCCGCAGAAGGAGGACTTGTCCAACAGAATGGTGCGGCCACCAAGCTCCACCACGGTGTTGGCGGCGGACATGCCTGCCAGGCCGCCGCCGACCACGATCACCTGATTAGCCGGGAAGACTGCAGCCATGGCGACAAAGTTGCAGTGAAGAGAAGGAATCGTACAGCTTGATGCTGAAAGGGCTTCAGACGTAGCCACGGTTTAGCGTGCAAGAAAAGCCTCCGAATCACTTCAAAACATGACTTGAAAGATTTCTCCCAATTCAACACTAATGCTGGCAAATGTGTAGGACCCCCCCCCCCGTCAGCAAGTCTACCCTAAATTCCGAGCTGTACTCAACAAGCACCACGCATTGACCTCTGAGCCCTTCGCGTCGGGCGAAGAGACCCAGGCCGGCGCTGGGGATGTTAGAAGGCCGCGTCTGGCAAAAGGAGATTCATTGAAGTTGCCTATTATAGGAGACTTAGTAAACTGGATTTCTACAAAAGCTTTTTACATACAAGGTTCTACAACGGCTACTGCAAAGGCAAAAGGCTTAGCACAGAGACCTATCCTCTTAGAACAAGATTCTGGGGTAATCTTTCGCACAACGACAAGGGGACACAAGGAATGAGGATACGGCATTGGAGAAAAATAATCGTACCAATATATAGGGACCATCGTGTTATTACTCAGTCGTTTTCAATATCACGTCTTTGGCCTCCTGCTGTGATTGGGAGTTGGGGTTTCAAGTTACTGGGGCGCTTAGAGATGTAGGGATTTAGGCTCGCATGCTCGGACTATCCATATAAGTTCACGGATGATGAAAACAGGACGTGCCATTCAGGATGCTCTGAAGCCTGCCATCTGTCGTCCAAACACCATCTTGGCAACAACAACATCAGTCTCCTCACTACTGTAGCATGAACACCACCAGCATCGTCGTCATGATGACCATCGTCACCATCGTCGTCAACATCATCAACATCGTCGTCGTCATCTTGAAGCCACCATCAACACCACATCCCCATGCTAAGAACAGTTACAAACATAATCAGTAGGCCCTACCTCGAGTCCGCCAGCATCGCCGCGCCTCAGACAAAAAATTAGGGGGTTCAGGGTTTAGGGTTTAGGGTTCCGAAACACTGAAAGCCTTAAAATGAGGATTACTTAAAGGTGTGCGGGTAGTTCTAAGTAGGCTTGGGAGCAAGACAGCTATAATTGACTACTCTCACTTGTAAACTGAGCTAAGATACTTGCAACCCTGCGTCCGTTTACCCAATATCTCCAAAAAGGGCAAGGCCTAAACCCTAAACCCAAAAGGGCCAGGACCCAGTGCACCTGGGGTAGTCCGGGCTTGGCCTCTCGGGCGCTAAGGCCATTTCAAAGGCTCTCTGGAAACTGCAGAACGTAGCGGCCTTAATAATTAGAATAGCGCGAGGACGTCTGTACAGCAAACCGAGGATAGAGATTCGGGCTAAAGCATGGCGAATCCGCAAATGCACCACATGGTATGCGTCAAAGATCCAAATCAAGGTAAGTGGCGCGCCACCGGGGCCTGCACTCGAAGCCCACAACCCTTCTCAACCGACCTTTTAAGTCCTAAACCAAAAACCCTGGAAGCCCTAAACATCAAACCCTAGATCAAACAGGTTGCAAGGAGGTGACCCCTCAAATAGGGACCCTTCCACCTTCTCATCTTGGCCCTAAAACCTAAACCCCATACCCTAAACCCTTTGATCAGACAGGTTGCAGGAAGGTGACATAGAAGTGCTGCTTCCCTGTTGGGTGCAGCTCCGCAGCCTGAGCCCAAGCGGCGGAGCCGAAAACCACCGGATAACCCGAAGCGAAACCGAAACAACGAACAACAAAGAGCGTGTGTGTATATATATATATATATATATGTGTGTGTGTGTGTGTGTGTGTATATATATATGTATATATTTATGTATGTATGTCTGTCTGTCTGTCTGTCTGTCCGTCCGTCTGTCTGTATGTACATATGTATGTGTGCGTGCGTATGTGTGTGTATATGTGTATATGTGTATGTGTGTATGTATGTATGTATGTATGTATGTATGTATGTATGTATGTATGTACGTATGTAAGTAAGTATGTATGTATGTATGTATGTATGTATGTATGTATGTATGTACGTATGTATGTACGTTTGTAAGTATGTATGTATGTAGGTATGTATGTATGCATGTATGTATGTATGTGCATGTGTGTGTATTTGTGTATGTATGTATGTATGTGTGTATGTATGTATGTATGTATGTATGTATGTATGTACGTATGTATGTATGTATGTATGTATGTATGTATGTATGTATGTATGTAACATTATGTATGTATGTATGTATGCATGGATGTATGTATGTATGGATGCATGCATGTATGCATGTGTGTATGTATGTACACATGTATACATGTATACATGTGTAATTACCTGTATATGCACATGTGTATGTGTCTACACATATGTATCTCTATATGTATTCTCTGTATATATATATATATATATATACGTACACATCTATATGTATGTATTGGGAGCGAGAGAGAGAGAGAGAGAGAGAGAGTTTATGTGTTCTTTTAGCCACGGACACAACCCATTAACCCTCAACCTTTTTTTTCTCCAGGGTCTTTCTGCCGATCTGGGCCCCGAGCTAGCGCGGGAGGCGGAGCAATCCCAGGCCGTGTCTTTCCTGGATGCTTCGAGGTTTGGGGATTGGGGTTCAAGGTTGATAAGGTTTGGGGTATCAGGGCTGTGAGTTGTCGGGTTTAAGGTTTCGGGTTTCGGCCTGTTGATAAGATAATTTACTGCCACATGAGGCTTTAGAAGTTTCCTGGACGCTGAGTTTACCTACCTTTTTCGGGTTCCTTTTTTATGTTTTCCTTCTAGGAAGTCTTAAAGCGGAAGGTTTTGGGGTTAAGGTAAGGTAGGGTTTGATGTGCCCAATGCCGTCTTTTGACTGTCGAAGCGTCTCCCGTCAGGTCGTCCTCAAGCTTTGGGTTTCGGGAATAGGGTATATGTTATGGTATACTATAGTATATGATGGTATTTTGATTGTAGTATATTATGGCATTTTATAGTTCGTTATGGTAGTTTACAGTACAGTATATTATGATGTTTATGGTACCTTATAGTATACTCTTCTGGTCGGTATTTAAGGTTCGCTGTGGTTCCTTTGCTCATCGTGCAGCATGCAGGGCTGTGAAGGGCAGGCTACGGAGTGCGGGTTTGAGGGTTTAACGGCCGAAGAGTAAACCCTAAACTCTAAACCCCTAAACCCTAAACCCTAAACCCTAAACCCCAAAACCCTAAACCCTAAACCGTGGCTCAGGGTTTCTCCTTGTTTGTGTTACATGGGCAGGCCACCTGGATATGAGCACGAGGAGTCTCACTGGAACCCTTACCCTCAAAGGACTCATATCTTAAGGCTTTCGGGCCCAAAGACCCTATTATATAAGGCTTTGTGGCTATTTTGATGCTAAGGGGAATTGCATTGAAACTGAAGCTCTACTGCTTGAGCCACACTGCAAAGTTGGCTATATCACGGAGAGCCAACCACCGGAGCATTGCACCCTAAACCCTTAGGCCCTACGCCCTGAGCCTTAAGGCTAATCGAGGAGCATGCCTTCCGAAAGGATATAGCACTCGTCCCGTTCCCTCAGCACCCTAAACCCTAAACCCTCTAACCCCTAAACCCTAACCCCTAAACCCTAAACCGTATAGAGCCTAAACCCTAAACCCTCTAACCCCTAAACCCTAACCCCTAAACCCTAAACCCTATAGATCCTAAACCGTGACCTTCAAGCTCTGAGCTTTGCCCTAAACCCGAAACCCTAAGCCGTTTTGAGCCGAGGATGAGTTGGGCGAATGCCTGCTGATTCTGCAGCGCTTCGGGGCCCTTCGCCTGCTCTTCAAAAAAAAGGATTTAGGACTCAGGACGAAGGGTTTAGGCTTTAGACAGGAGGTTTCCGGTTAGTATAGGGCTTTAGGGTTTCGGACTTAGGGCTTTGGGTTAGCATAGGTCTTTGTAAGCTTTAGGGTTTTGCATAGGTCGTTTTATGCTTTAGGGCTTAGGGTTCGTATATTGTTCACGGCTTCAGAGCTTAGGGTTAGCGTAGGGCTGTAGGATTCAGGGTTTCGGGAAGCAGATCTTGGGCTAGGACCCCAACCCGAAATCCTACACCCTACCCGGGGTAGGAGCTAAGCGGCTAAACCCTAAACCCTAAACCCTACACCCTACACCCTACACCCTACACCCTGAACCCTAAACCCTAAACCCTAAACCCTAAACCCAAACCCTAAACCTGGCTAGGGCCCAAAACCCTAAACCTTAGATCTTAAGCCCGAAAACCCGGCTAGGACCCTAAACTCTCCAACTTAAATCCTGAAGCTGTAAACCCGGCCAGGACCTTCAACCCTACACTAGAGGCCAGAAAGTTGGAACATCATTATCCTTATGCCCTGCAAAAGGTAGAGTAGAGCGAATCCTAGCAATGATCATCCTAAATCCATGTTCCAACGATTTTGGGGTTCACTATAAACCTAAATTACTGGAGCCGTAAACCCTAAACCCTAAAGTCTAAACAAACCCTAAACCCTAGACCCTGTGAACAAACCCTAAGCCCTAAACCCTAAACCCACAGTTTAGGGTTTCCTGGAGCCGTAAACCCGGCTAGGACCCTAAACTCTTAACATCGTGGCCTTAATAACTGCATTTTTTTTTTTTGGGGGGGGGGTCTTTATTAGATCTATAGCATAATGGGCCCCCAAAACCATCTAATTATAGGCCCCTAAACCCTAAGCCCTTAGCAGAACCCTTTAAAGAACCCTTTAAAGGATCCCCCAAAGACCCGTATTCTAATCATAACCGTAAGGCTCCATGTACCCATACAGTAGATACTTAGGCCTTAAAGCACCTATATAGGGGTCCTAAGTATCTACTATAAAGGTACATGGAGCCTTTGGGTAAGTCCCCCATATTAACCCCCGGAATGCTGAGAACCCTGTAAAACTCAGTCTTTTAGTTCCTCATCTTCGAGCACCCTTTCTGTTTGGGGCTTAGGGTTTGGGATTTAGGGTTTAGGATTTAGGGTTTGGGGCTTTGGGTTTGGGATTTAGGGTTTTGGGCTTT